ATGTGGCTGGCGCCTTAGCCTCTTGAGCCACAGGCGCCGAGCCAACTGCACCATTTCTAAGGAAAAGCATTTCAAACTAACTTTCAGATGAAGTGATTTCCAGCATCTTTAATTCTGACTTTGCAAAAAGACCATGATTAACTTGTGATTTTTTTTACCTGTAAGTAAAAATAAAGTTAATGGGGCAAACCAAAACCAAGTTTTTCAAACTAAAAGCTTTTTTCCCCCTTTAATGGAACTCAAAGTCACTAATTCATTATTTATTCACCAAAAGTTGAGTGTCAATTATATCCAGCTTTTAAGTTTGACTTAAAACATTTTCTGGCAGAAACTATGACTTCACACTCACCAAGGTAATAAATCCGGTCTGAATAAGGCCCATCTGGATCATTCCTCTTCACAAACATAAAATCATGTGGTGCCTTAGCCATCATATAGCCATGATATTTTCTGGTATCAGCAAGTAGTTTTTTAAGCTGACTCCAGGAATATCGCTCAACATAAAATGGCTCCAATTTAGGCTGATCCTGTGATTCAATATTCTCCTCACACTCTGCAGTTTCAAATATTTCAACACCCAGCTGTTCTGTTTCCATTGCTGCTGCCATGTTGCATTTTCCTAGAAAAAGGCAAATGAAGTTGTTCACATGCCTGTCTTCTCTTAAATTATCAGAATGACTGTCTGACAGGGTCAAAAAAAGAAAAAAAAGGGTGGAGGGACAAGGGTGAGGAAAAAAAATGCTTTTTAGCACAGCTGCAATGAAGCCTAGTAAGAAAAGCAATAGCTCCCCCTTCTTTTGTGTTCAGCTTAAAAATGAGATTTTTAAGAAATTGAGGTCATGCTATTTCACAGTGACTATAACCCCCTTTGGGAACTTTTATAAAAGGCTCTCCTTAGGTATCTCTTGCCAAAATTCCTTTTTCTTTCCCACACTGGAAGGAAACAGGCCATTTGCCAGTTGGCTGCTATGTTCCACCCAAGAGCATGTCAACAGTGAAGCTAAATGTGCCAAGGGAGTTAGGAGTTTCTGTATTTAAAAAAGCAACACATCTGATAAATGTGCATTTTTTCCACCTAACAGAAATAATTACAACCAATTAGAACAGAAATAAAATTGTCGAAAACAAAGTACTTGTAATAACCTTTAAGACACTTACACAAAAATAATATAGTTTCCTTTTAAATAGAACGCCAAACAACACTTAACTTGCTAGTATTTTTGAGGCTTGCCTACACATCACTTTTATATAACCACTTATGATAACTCTATATGTTAAGGAAACTTAAGTGACTGCTATTAATGATTGTACTACTTATACTGATTAAAAAATAAAGAAAAAAGATACTATCTTCAAGTGGCTTTAAGGTGAAGCAGTTGATGCAGAAGGATATATTTGTACTAACAGTATTTTGATGAAAGTATGAACCTAATTTACAAGTTTATCCCCCAATGTTTGTTAACATCTGCTGATAATGTCTGTTTCTTTTCATCTTACAAATCCAAAAGATTTTTTCCTTTATATTTTCCAACATTTAAATGTAACATGGACAAAGTATCAGAGAAAAAAAAATAAAAGTTTTACCATATAGCAGTGTATTCTGACATGCATTATTCATGACACTGCCAAAAGGAGCAACATAAAAATTCTAGGGCAATCTGCTCTTTTTCAACTAATGTCAAAAATGTAGACTTGGGAGATAAACTAATCTACATTTATGTAACCAAATTTAACATAATTATTTACTTTTAGAACAACAGTAAATACATGGCTGTATATTTAATGTAAGGTCTTTTTTAAAGCTCAGTTTTGCATGTTAACATGAATTCACGGTAACTTACAGAGAAAAAGTCATTAGCAAGTGTGGGCTGTGAATTAGTCCATCAAGCATGCAATGTTGGCATGCAAATAAGTTGAATGAACCGGGTACCCAGCATATTATGTCCTTTTTCATGCTACAATGACCTATATTATCATTTTCAATGTAACAGTAGCAAAAGTAGCCAGAAACCCCATTAGACAGTTATATAAAGTATATATGTAATATTATTACAACCTGGCATTCAATTTCAATGGTTAAAATCCAAAGAAGTTTGGCAGAGATTTAAGTCATTTAGCTCGACTGGTACTCAACACTGTGATATTAAGTAACAGAATGAGAGTGGTAATTGCTCTTCCAACGAAAAGTTACTAGGGGCCCACTTTCTACCAGTTAAGTCAACAGAACTGATTTTACATTAGACAATTGAAATGACAGTCTGCTACTCTGTATATTTATAGTAAATGTATTTCCTGCATTATCTAGGACAGATTTGATATTATAAAATATTAGTAATTTGTACAAATGTATAACTAAAAGATTAATTTCCAGAGTTTCCTAACATCATTCAAACAAATATGTGACCTGAATTTTCTAATTTCAAAAATACAAAAACAGGGTCAGCATACATTCTCAGCACAGTACATGTATTTCACTGCCCCACCTACCTCTTCACTTAAGGACCTTCCCTGGTGCCTACCTCATTCCAAAGGATCTTTTTCAAGTGAGTCAATTTCAAGTACAGATCCCTCTGCTCATCCTAGTCTATCCTCACAGGAACCTTTCTTTTTCTCACTATCCAATTCTGCTTACCATGATAATGAAATAAGATAGAAGACCGTTGAAAATTAACTCTAAAAAGTCCCAAAATAAACGGATATGGAACTACCGTTCTTTGGGGGTAATATATAATGCCTAAATTATTCTCTATCTGCATTTTACATTATCAAAATTATAAAATTATTTTATTTCAGCAATGTGTAGCCCAATTTACTCAAAATAATACCCTAACAATAGTGTAAATCCTGAAGTCCAGACATACATTAAAAGGAAAATTACAGAGAAGCTTTAAAATTATAAACAAATTGATATTACTCAGTGGCTACTGCAAATCCTCAAAAACGAGAGACTAATAAAATTTATTTTTATATGCCTATTCCTGTTCTTCAACTCAGTAGGATAACCAGTAAGAATTACAGCTCAGTCAGCTTTTGCAAAGAGAACTTGAATTTCGTAATTTAAGATTTTTCACAAGATAAAGAACATTCTATTCATTTTAAGTGTGTTCCATTTTTGCTTCTTTCCTTGCTGCATTACCCTGACAACTAACTAAAATAGGTAACTTTCACGGAAAAAGAAGCATTAAGCTTGCTGAAACTCTGGCGTACAAGAAAAGAGGATTTGTGATTATACCTTTTATTTTGTTACCAGTTTTAATTCTGGGCTCTCATATATACCATGTAGGTGGGCTGGGAAAGAGATGTGATGAGAAAAGCTAAGTAGCAAGTGGAGGAAAAAAATAGTGAAATTATGCTAACACAGCAACAATAAACTAAGTTTCCAAGACACCTTCTTATAGCATTAAGCTTCTCAACTCAGAAAACAACATGTTAGATGCTTAGAAAATAGTTTGGACCCATTCAAATGACATTCTGTAATTTTTTAATTTAAGGGCCAAACAGTCGTTCGCTTAAAAACCCCAAGCCTCACTGAAGCCTAGCTTTTCGTTCTTCAGGGTCCACAAATAGTTGGGAAGTTCATTATCACAGAAGGGAAAAGATCTTAAAGACTATGAATGAGGAAGAAGACAAGTACAGTAGAGAAAGCTGAGAAGGGGGACTGGAGAGATGCCAAGTCTTAAGAGAAAAGTGTGAGGAAGAGGTCTGACAGGAAAGGAAAAATATCCTGCTGCAGGTGGGCGAAACAGAATGGGAGGGAGACAGTGAACAGGGAAAGGTAGACCTAGTGTTAGGCAGGAGGGAGAAAACACCAGCTGGGAAACCAGAAAATATGTGTCGGATCCCATCTGCCACAGTCGGACTTCAGGCAAATCCGTTCGCCTCTGTGGGCTTCCGTTTCCTCATCTGTAAGTCAAGACAATACCAGGCCTCCCAACCCCAGCCAGGCTCAATTAAGATAACGGACGTTTAGTCTAGAGGCCAGCGTCCAGCTTTAAGGGGGCGCCCAGTGAACGTTGGCTGACTTGGAATCTCGAAGCCTCGGCTTCCTCTTCCGGCAAGCGGGACCCTGCCACCGGCTTTGCCCCGCGCACGGCGGCGCGCCGGGTGAAATGCAGAGCGGGCCGACAGGGAGAACGTGCCGGGAGGTTCCTCGGGGAGACTGAGAGGGCCCCGTGAGCTGGGCCCTACACCTTGCCGGCCAAAGGGAGGAGAGGGGGGTGGATACTGCACCTTCCCCCCGGCCCCGCCCGGACCGTCCCGACGCACGCTACGGAGCGGGCCTGCGCCGCTTCATGCCGCGCCGCCTCCACTCCCGTCCCGGACGCAGCAGCTTCCTCGGCGGCAGCGCCAGTGGCAACCCAGGCGGCGAACGGGCCACTTAAAGACAGCGGCGGCGGCCTCAGCCTCGGCGGCGACGGTACTTCCGGTTCCTCGCGACGTGCCCTCCGACTGGCGAAGGCGCAGGCGGCTCAAGAAGGGCGGCTCTCTCTACTGGGCAGGATCTAATACCACAGTGCCCCCTAGTGGCCGGAGGAGCGAAGGAGCTGCGGGACGGAGACTTGGCTGGGGAGGAGAATAAAGATGAAATGCAGAAAAGAGCAGCGACTTGCTCAAAGTCACAAGGCAAATTGTGGCATGTCTCTATTCGGTTTTTGTTGTTTGTTTGTTTTTTGAGACAGAGCCTTACTAGGTCGCCCTCTGTAGAGTGCCTTGACATCACAGCTCACAGCAACTTCAAACTCTTGGCCTTAAGCAATTCTCTCGCCTCAGTGTCCCAAGTAGCTGGGACTACGGGCGCCCGCCAAAACGCCTGGCTAATTTTTTGTTGTAGTTGTCATTGTTTGGCAGGCCGGGGCGGGTTCGAACCCACCAGCCCGGGTGTAATGTGCCTGGCGCTCTAGCCGCTAAGCGACAGGCGCTGAGACTCTACTTTTTTTTTTTTTTTTTTAATTCTATTTTGAATGTGTGGGGAAGAAATCCTCAGGACTCTGACAAAAATACAGCTATTTGGAAGACAGGTAGAGAAAGAAAGCAGGCCAGAAAACAAATTGCATGATTATAGCTACCCCTTTCCTACATTCCTGTAAATCCTCATGACCCTGACAAGAGAATAGCCATGCTGGGAAGACAGCTAGAGATAGAAAGCAGGTCAGAGAGCAAATGGCAGGGTCACAGCAACCCCTCCCCACCGTTCTGAAAAGCTTTAAGGCATGTGTTCTGGGATCTCCTACCAAGGTCCCGGCTGGAACTAGAGATAAGGCCTTTGTGTAAGATTAACACCTTTTGTAGAAGGCAGTAATTCTAAAATCAGTCTGGACATAGCATCTTTCACTCTTCAGGAAAGTTGACTTCCCTCACCTCTCGTGACCCCTCCCACATTCCAACTACACTAATAAAGTCCCCTGAAGCTGTGTGAGCTGAGCTGACGTCTGGTGAGACTCCATTCTGCTCCTTTAAAAGAAAACCCATCCTCCATCCCTGGACGGTCTCCTTTCCTTCTTGTGGACTCTAGCAGAATTCTATCCCTACACCTCTGAGAACACTTTCCAAAGTAGGTAAAATTCATGTCAATATTCCAGGCAAAGTTGTAGGCGCTGAGATTAGAGCAGGCAGCAAACCAGGCAAAAATACCTTCCAGTTCAAGGGGATGATAAAGAGAGGGAAGGGACGAGGGCTTGGAGATCTGAGCATCTCATTGTTGTCGTAGAACTTGGAGTCAGACTTGCTCAAAGTCACAAGGCTCTAAATATTAATTAGTGATCTTCAGCAAGTCACTCCATCCCTTTGAGCCATGCTTTCTTTATAAAAGGGCTATAATGACACATGTCATTTACACACTAACATATAAAAATGAAGAAACTGGGGCCCAAGAAAGAGAAATGAATGACTTGTTATGATCAGAACCAGGGGCAGTGCCCTTGACCTGCAGTTTCTTTCCTAGTCTACATTATATATTGCTTGAGAAAAAGTCAGCCCAGGGAGATCACTGGGAAACTAGCAGGTACAGACCAAAACAGTGGAAAAGTTGGACCTCCTGTTTTCTGTTATTACAAAGAATCATTATGTCAAAGCTGTGCATCACTAGAATTATTATAATAGCAC